AACTGAATCTACATGGTCTCTTGGAGTTCCTTGGACTAGGCCTGACATCATGCAAGGGAAGAAGCGTGAGCTAAGGTGTTGCAATTATGGGTGCTAAAGGTTAACCAACGGGTTGTTCCTGTTGATATTGAAGATGCCAGTGAGGGAAAGCCAAGCAAGAGAAGGGATGGCAGTTTCTGGACAAAAGGCAGTAATGAGGTGCTCCCATTCCTTTGGATGGCACAGAGACAACATCTGGCTGATCTTTTCCAGACTCAGCTGCTGTTGGGCATGGTTAGTGCTTGAATGGGAGAGCCCAGGGCAGATTGGAGAGTTGAAAGAAGGCAGTGTCAAACCACTTCTGACTACAACATGGATGGTGTCCATGAAGTCATCAGGAAGAACATTTGTAGGATTTATGCCCAATGGATCACATGCGTTCACCTTCCATTCTGCTACCCTTTAAAAGAATTGATCTCTGTAGATATTCTTCTGGAATGGATGGAAGCAACTCACTGGCTATTAGCAGAAGATTTTGTTCAGCTAATTTACACCATTCAACGGGGTAGCACAAATGACAGTACTGTACTGTACTGTGGCAAACAACATTTGCTGTTATTTTTAAAGTGCAGTGGATGGGTTTTGGCAGGCTGAGTACTTTGGCTCAAAAGCATGGGAGATGAAAACTGAGTCATACATTTTTGTAAAAAAGCGATCTATATACAATAATACACATTGGCTGGCATCTTAGCATGTTTAGCATTTCCTATTTTTGCATTAATGATTAAACTCAGGTGTCATAGCCATTTTTCCCACTCAAGCTAGAAAATGTTCAGCCATCAGTTTATCAAACAATCTATTAATACGACAACTGACAACTTCCATCCTTACTTGTCTTGTTCATCAGGAGGTGAGAGTGGAGGGGGACGTTTTTATGGGCCAAGTAGATTAGATCTGCCTAATTTGTGCGGCTTTTGATCAGCTAAGCCAAATGTAGCCCAGTCACTAGCAAGATACAATGGTGTTGCAGGGGCTTACAAAACAGTGCAATTGTCGAACAAC